ATGCATTCACACCATCGATTATGACTGCATCAATCTGAAAATCAAATGAGATTTGATTAGATTATAAGATTTGATATAAAAATATTAATTAATTAGGCAGTAATAATTACTTACGCGGAACGGAACTTGTTGATACCTGTCGCGCCGCCGTCCGGAAACAAAGTGAGGGATGACGTAGTCGAGTCACCTCTCCCCACCTATTTATCTTATAAGGCAGTGTCAAAATGTTTTTCTATGCGTACTAGATGAAAGATCACGTGTATACATAGCTGAGGCTTGCCTCGTTTGATTCTTATCTTCGTCTTCGCAAGTCTTTCTTTTTCTATCCGTACATTCATACGTATTTGGTCATTAGTATAGGTTAACATAAATATAAAAATCAATACTTTATGTATAATACGTTAACTATGTTATAATAAAATAAATTACAAATAAAACAATACATTAGTATGAAAATTTATATTGAATATACTGTGAATGTATAATTATGTACCGATTAAAAAAGTATATTTTTTATATTTTTTGATTCTTATCGCAAGTCTTCGCAAGTCTTTCTTTTTTTTCATATACATTCAATTGTATGAATCGTTAATACATATAAAAATAAAAAGTAAATACATATGTTAGAAAATAAACTCCTACAAATAAAAAACATAGTRTGAGAATGTATTGAGTGCTACTTTTTTGTTGATGTATTGTTTTGTATTTTTAAAGATAGACTTTTATTAATTTCTATGTGTCTTTATATTGATTCTTTTATATAATAACTTTTATACATTTGCAGGTACAACACACTGCCCAAATGAAAATTTTTTAATGTCATTTTCATTTCATATACATATGTACATAAATTCGCGTCCTGTTTTTTTGATACTTTACTAATACAATCTTACGATTTACAAATTCTCAAGTATTTGGATATTTAGAAAAGCGCAGCATTGATTAGGCTAGTTTTACACTCGTATATACTTTCTAATCTTTATATATATTAAATACATATATAATAAGATATACTTGGCAATTTTAAAAAAGGATATAGTCAATATTTTTTTAGCATTTGAACGAACAAAAATCTCGGCTTTTTTCTATTATACCGGTGCATACTTCTCGTTAATATAAATGTAATTAAACAAAAGATTTATGTACTCTATCGATCAAACATAGATTTGATCACGTTATGGTTATTATTACGGAGATATACATAATTGCGTATGCATTTTGTAATATGACGCAAGGTGCAATATTGTTTATTTTTTTATTTTGATAGCGGTGTATATTAATTTTTAATTATTGTGATATATTCACAATTATTTAAGTTTTTTATAATGTGTCTTGAATAATTTCCTGTATGTATTGGTAATTGTATTAATCGATTAATAATTTTGAAATATTTTTCTATTCATATATTGTTTATTAAAAAAAGCATGCATCAGAGACATGCATTTTTTCATATTCGCTTGTGTTTAAATTTATAAAAACACATTTTCTAATGCATCGAGAATTCAGTATTTTTAAATGTCCACTTTTTGGTCATTTAAATTCTTTATTTTTTCAATTTCATTATTTATTAAATAATCCAATTGAAAAGTTTCTATCATGGATCGTACATTGAATTTCATTTTTCCACACATTCCTTTTTTATCTAGTTTTTTGTTATAGAAAGTACTGTATTTTCAAGCTGTAAGGTTTATTATTGCAAAATACCATTTTATCAATGGATATTTACAACAATGTCTGCAGTAGTATCCCAAGGTTTGTAAATGCAATCATTTAGGATATAAAAATAAATTAATAAAAATTACGTATAAGTTATACGTAATAATATAAAATTAATTTCTGTTTTAGGTTCATCGATATTGGCAAGATTCTATTCCACTGTTTCTAGTTTGTGTTCTCGTAGTAGTCGTGTTATTGGTTTTTCTGTCTTAATGTATAAATGTATGTGTGTGTGTGTGAACAAATTTCTGGTATTTGGTTTAGTATATAATTATGCATTTATTGTGAGGACATTTTCACTGGTGGCTTTTGGTTTTCATCGATTCTTGTTTAATTATAAATCTTTTTTTTTAGATTGTTTTTGTTCACAGATTGCAATATTGTTAGTAGCATCTGAATATTAATTAGATTTTTATTTATTCTGTTAAATGAGATCTTGTTCATAAAAATCAATCATGAATTAAGCTTGGATACATTATTAATGTAAACGGTTTTTTTTTTTTTAATATTTTTATGCAGGAGTAATTCTTATTATTATTAAGATAATATTCAATGCACGTAAGTGCACATAAAATTGCGTGCGTTCCTATACTAACAATTTGCGTGTTGTTTCATTGTAAGTTTCGGTCGAAAGTAAATAAAAACGGTCTACATTCTTGCGTTTGTTGAATAAAAAAAATTTGCATTTTGTATTTATAATTTCAATCGAATCTACGTCAAAGCGTTTGCATGTTTGCATGTTTGCGTTAATTTAGGATTGTAAATCGGGTAGGTAGGATCGATTTAAAACGATGTTCATTATTTTTCATTCAACATGTGAATAATAAGTTGGAAGAAAAATTGTATGACTCGTTTTACGCGTTGCATTTTTTGAAAAAATTGTTTTCTAATAAATGATTAATGAGCAAAATAAATTTTGTAGAAAAATAAATGTTAGAAGTAGAGTCTTAGCCCGTGGGTCTCCGAAAACAGCAACCTCCTAGCGGTGAGACCTAGGTCGGTATTACTTGCGATTTATTCAAATTTAATTGTAAATTATGTAACGCAAGTACTACCGGGCTAATGACTGTATATTTCAGTGTGTTTCCAAAAAATATTTTCTCTTCTGTTTTTCAATTATATTTAAATAAATATTATACTACTTGTGTATTACATATTACTAATTATACTTCAGTAAATAAAATTGTCTAAAAAATAATTTCTTAAAGAAACACACTGGAAATATTTCTTTTTGTTATCAAATTTAAATAATTTTTAACGACATAATTCTTCTTGTTTCTTTTTTGTAATATTTTAATTAATTTAAAGTTTAAATTTTGTTGATTAATGAATTTCAATTAGATTTTTATTTATTCTGTAAAATGAGATCTTGTTCATAAAAATCAATCATCAATTAAGCTTGGACACATTATTAATGTAAACGGCGTTTCTATTTTTTTAATATTTTTATGCAGGAGTAAAAAATAGTCTTAAAATAAATTTTCGTAAAATGTTTTAATAATAAGGTTCTAATAAGAAACATTTAGCTATAAGATTTATAATAATAAGAAACATTGAACTATATATAAGTAATAATTGTAATCATTATTTCGAGTTACAAGGAGAAATTCTTATTGATGCTGTGCAATTCTGAATCTTCAAATACTTGCAAACTGCAAATCATAAGATTGTATTAGTAAAGTATCAAGTTATCTTTGTTGATATTTAAAAATTAAGGAATAAAATAAAGAGAATATAAACTAAAAGCCACACAGAAATAAACAATCATATAGAAAAGAAACCTCGTTGCAGATATTTTTTAAACAATTGACATAAAGCACTATAGCCATCCTCCAAGAATTAAAGTAAATTGAAACAAAAATTTGTTATATATATATAATAAAAAAAAAAAAAAAATAAAAGTAAAGATAAAAGATAAAATTATTTATACTATCAAAGAATATATCATATACTATCATATCTATCAAAGAATATTGTATTCTTTGTATTCTTTGATAGTATTGTACCGTCATCGCGTTCAGTATATACTATCGTCCAATGGTGGTCCCAGTGGTAACAAAAATAATGCTGGGTAGATAAAAAAGGGGATTTGTTAGTTTCTATATACTTCACTACAAAAAAGTTGGCATAGAACTGCAACAGTAGAAAAAACTGAAAATATTTACCTATTGTTTATACATTATGAACGATTTACTTTTTTCTTTTCACTACCCTATTGGTTGTTACTTTGGAAATCACTTTTAAAAAGAAAACTTCATTTCTTTGTTTAGAAATGAAAAAAAACGTTTTTATATTTTCAATCATTAATAATTAATTAATAATGTGAGCAATTATATGGATTTTGATTGAGGAATTAGTGTGCAATTAAGAGCACTTCTTCATTTTTTTCTGCTGTTAAGGTTTCTTGCCAGCGTTCCTACGGTGAAACAGGGATTCATTTATATATATATATACGAATTACTATACTTTATTTTATCATCGAACTTCAATCTACTATTTTTATAGATCTATTTAAACGATATTACAGTAATCTATTATACCGACTGATAAAAGGAATCTAATATTACCGACTATGTTTAGTCGGTAAAAGAAGGATCTACGAAATTGATTGAGTATGCAACAAGTAAAACACAAAATGTTTTCTATTATTGATTAATTTACACGAGAATAAAGAGTCATTTATGAAAATTGTAGAAAATTACTACGTAATAAATGTATAATCTATATAATTAGAGTAAAATAATTAATAAGATTCTCACTTGTTTTAGTTAAAGTGTAAAGTGTATACAAATTTGAATGAATTAAATAATTATTATTAAGTAGTTCCACTCACACACAAATAAAATTACACATACTTATTAATTTTAATCGACATTGATGAATTCGATCGAAAAACTTATTTAAACATACATTAATTCTTATAATTTTTATTTGTAGATAATATAGAATATAACTATGCTCGATAAAAGTTATAAGATTATGAATGAGATCCAGCAATATAGTAGCGAGTGAGTCATTTAACATTTTTAATATTAACTAATCTTTATAAATGTTATATTTCTCTGTAAAATAACGATTT